GAGGGACACCCTCTTGTATACTTGTACTATGGCAACAAAGACCAGCTCAGAACCCAGGACCAACAATTCAGAAACAGGACGTCGCTGTTCCAGGACCAGCTCTCCAAAGGAAACGCCTCACTCCAGCTGACAGGGGTGCAGGTTCAGGATGAGGGCAGATACAGCTGCTACATCAGCACCATTAATACAGAAAAGGATTCATTTATCAACCTCAAAGTGCACAGTATGACAAATCTGAGGTTTTGGGGGATTTTCTTTTCTTTTAAGTGCTGGATATTTCAAAAGATTTATACCAACCTCTAATATATGTAGCAGTTGTAGTGTTATGTTGAAAAGCCACAGGTTTACTCTGTATTTTTCAGCCCCAGTCAAAGTCAGCATTCAGCATGTAGGAAACAGGATCACCTGCAGCTCAGAGGGCATCTACCCTAAACCTGAGCTCACCTGGTCAACCAGACCTCCATCCAAGGTGACCTTCAAGAATACAACAACAGTCGAGCAGACCAAGCAGCAGCTCTACAACATCAACGGTTCTTTGATAGCTTCACTCAATGAAAGTGATCGAGTCTACAGCTGCACTGTGAGCACTCAGAGGAACAGGAGGAGAGCCAGTCTGAGGCAGCTACGTGAGTATGACCTCCCATATGAGCTAGGAAATGAGGTTGAAAGCTGCTTATTGTTGAATACTGAAACACATGCATTAGATTTACACAGAAGCACTTCATGTGTAGGCTGTTCATCTATACTTGGCATATGCTCAGAACTTCTTCTGTGTTGTTTCAGCTTCAGTTACTGGCAGCTTCACTGAAACCACAATCCCCTGCCCCAGCTTTAACACTTCTCCAACAAGCCTCATTTGGAGATTCCTTAATCGTGCAATTTTGGAAAAGACTGGGTCTGGTTCCAACTACACCGTCTCAAAGGAGTGGAAGCAGCACGTGAAGGCTGTGTCAGAGTTAGGAAGCCTCACATTACTGGGCTTATCTTCAGAGAAGGAGGGAATATACACATGTGAGATTAGTAATGTTGAGGAGATGCTGATTAATTACACCATTATTCGAATAAGTCAAGG